TGTATGCTATACGAAGTTATTACGCACCACCACACATGCGCATGGTTGGACGGTAACTACGTTGCGCCATGTGGGCACCCGTGCCAGTTGTGCATTTTAATTCTCTCTCCTGGTTGCAATCGTTCGTGACTCTGTTCTTTGTTCTGCACAACATTTCCTCGGCTTACTCCAATCTCACACGCGCGATTTATGTTTCTTCATATCGCGAGAATCGATCGATCGTAAATCACCGGGCGATTTTGAAATCGGTTCGAATAACAACAATACGAAGATTTATCTAACGAGAGAAGAACTGACAGTTGTGAAAATGGTGTTGGATATAAAAAAGATGCGTATTGAATTTTTAAATTGCCGATACTTTCATTGTACTTATTTAATTTTAAATTTGCATACATTCAATATTGGATGTGTAACATCGAAAGTGTGTGATCTGTAATGTAACTTTCAAAATGTAACTTTTATCATTGTTTCCAGATAATAAAATATTTAATTTTCACATTTTTATTTACACATTAATATCAATTTGTATCCATTCTGCATCTATTAAAAGTTCTCTGATATATCTTGACAAAGAATATTGTAATTTAAATTTATTAAGATCATTATATAATTTTAATTAGACTTTGATAAAACGCTCACTGCAGAAAAAGTCCATTATTATGTGAAAGCACCTTTAACCGGATGTCTTTCATGCTGTTCAGGAAACGGATGGAGATTCGCCGTTGGGCTAAAAAACACGCGTAGTTTTATCGCTGCATAGAGATAAGTGCGGAAATATAAAGAGAAAACGAATGGAGTTGCGTTCTATGAGATATCGTAAATAATTTCTTGCAAAAAATATTAATGTGCGAATTTCGAAAACTCGATTATAACAATTAATACGATAGATAAATGTAATTTTTGCGATGCATCTGGATTTCTAAATACAACTTTTATTTCATCGTGTCATTAATTTTATGATATATTATTACATATATGCTTACATTAAATCAGCTGATAATCAGTTAAATACAACTGTGATGTTTCTGAATCACTAAGCTAGCTTTAATGCTGTCATTGCTAAGTTACGCCATGCTAATTGCTCATAATTTCAGTCGTTGATAAGACGCGACTTATCTTTTCATTTGACTTTTCAAATGAGATTTAAATGAGATCGCGTGATCTTGAAGAAAGCGGCTATACAGTTGATTTGCATTTCGATTCATTTTGAGTCGCTGATTGTCAAAAAAATTTGGCTCATAGTCCACCATGGCTCGATATACCGATTCCCGTTAATCGCAACCTTGAAATTACGAGTGGCAGCTGGGCAGCGCAGGTGCAACCGAGTGGTGCATAGTACCAGATGCATGTGTGCACCAGGTTGCACCTGCGAATCGCGAAACTCGATTCTTCGCCGCCGGCACGTGGACTACCGTCAAGATGAGGCGCGCTAAATGATTGATTCTCTTGTATGTGTTCTTATGTGTGCTCTGCGCGTTTCGTGTTGTACCGTTGTCGTCGCAAATTGATTGCGGAACGTGGCAGAGCAGAATCTGACAGGATAATAATCCACTACGTCAAATCATTGCCACGAATTCACCTTGTAATTCACGACACTTAATTTCATAAATATACAAAAACGAAGGTTGTGAAAGCTAGACCTGACACGAAATTTTCAGAATATAATTTAATGATAATAAAAAAAGTCATTAAAGGAAATTTAAATTCCCTTTTGTGTCTTAAGATTCATCTATCGATAATCTTGAAATAAAAATAAAAGAAATATTGTAAACATTTTATAAATAAGTTGCAAAGTTGTTTTTAAAATCCTGATGTTAAGGAATTAATGAAAAGTTATCGAATTGTCCCTCGAAATAGTATAATTATCACTTACTCTGCCGGACAACAGGTGGTCAAGCACTGTGCCCTTTGATATGCGGATTCACCCCGGGAATATAATCCAGATGAAATTTGATATTAGCCAGAAGTGCCAAGCAATCAGCAAATATATGATACCTTCGGATAATTATTATATATTTGTAATTACATTTTCTTCAATCATGTTCGTTCGCTCATTGACAATTTGTCAAACTGTATTGTTTAAGAAAAAATCTTTCGCTTTCCTCTTTAATCTCTTTCTCAACAATCATGTTTATTAATCGATATTTTTTTTCTTTTTATCTTTCAGGCTCAAGCCCTGAGTGCGGCGTGCCAGATATGACAGTCATCAGTGATATTGATGAAATCGGTATCAATCGTAATCTTCAAGTTCGGTACAGTAGGGACCAGATATATGT